ATACATTTATATGGTGCTTTTGATTAATAAATTTTTATGTCAGATCATAGATTTAGTAACAAAACAAAACCCAGGATTATACATGAAATAAAAGCCAGAAGTCAAAATAATAAAAGAAGGGCCGGCGAGATAGCTCAGTGGACTAAGTGCCTGCTTAGGCAAGTGTAGGGGACCAGGGTTCGATCTGGCACCACAGGCAATGCCAACCCTGTCCCCAGGCACACTAAGCCAGCCACTTAAGCCTGGGCATGGTGCTGCACACCTGTAATTCCAGGGGAGGCTGAAAACAAGAGGATCACCATGAGTCTGAGCTGTGTAGTAAAACCCTGTACCAAATATATAATAATAATAATAATAGATGTGGATTTTTAAAAATTAATAAAATAAAAAAATGGCCATTTCAGAGTTGAAGCCACTATTTTCCTTCTTCTTCTTCTTCTTTTTTTTTTTTAAACATACAGGCCTTATAGTCTGAATCAGATTCTTGATTTTTAGTTAGTATTATCATTGTTTCTCTATTTGTTGAGGTTGTTAAGGAAGTCTATGAGAATGTTAGGAAAAGCTTTCAAAAGAATGTAATTTGCCTCTTGAGGACCATTTACTGTCTTTCATCTTCTAAAGATGCCTTAAACTAGAAACCCTGTTCTTTGACTTTTCTCTTCTCTCTTACTTCCTCATCCAGAGTTAGTATCCTTGTTAAAGCAAAACGAAATGTAGGCAAAGACATAAATGGAGATTGATTTTTTTTTTTTTTTTTTTATCATTTGCACTAATGATTTCTTTTTTAGGGATCGTTAGTGTTTGCATTAATAAACACTAATTAAAGTGTTTATTTAGTTTCTAATGGTGACAGATATATTTATATATAAGGTGAGTAATATATTTTCAAAAAAGAAACTCCCAGCCTGTATCAATTATAGTAAAATCAGAGTTAACATTTATGCATCTTTAATACTTGTCAGGCATTATACTAAGCACTTTATTGTATTCAGGTTAAGTATGCAAACATAGCAAACTCTAATTGCAGCTACTCTTTTTCTTCATCTCTTAAAGGCAGTCTTTTTCCTTTCCTTTTTTTTTTTTTTTTTTTTTTTGGCAGTACTAGGGATTGAACTCTGGACCTTGTGCTTGCCAGGCAAGTGCTTATTCTACTGAGCTGTCTCCTCAGCACCAAGGCAGCCTTTTCTACAGATACCTGAGAAAAGATGTACTTAAGCCTAGTGACTTAACAAAGCTACCACCAGTGTTTGAGATCTTTAATTCTCTGGTTTTCAGCTCTTATGTAAGTTGAGGTGGGAGAAGTACAAAGCATAGATGCCATAGGAAAAGAAATGTTATATTCATATTATAATTGCCTTAATTTTCTAAGTCACAATGCCTACTTCAAGCTTTCTAATAACTAAAGGAAGTCATTAGATGTTTATGTTTCTCACAGCAAGCATGGATGTAGCAAAAAGATTACTTTAAAATGAGGCTGTTATTCTGAGATTCTCTGATTCTGATTATGTACTAGAAATTTACAAAGAATACTTTTTTACTTGATTTTATGTATTCTTATCATTTGCATTGTTTTTTTTATTTGACAAAAGCAACATTAAACAGATTTAAAAGGCTGAATTCTAATAAGTCATTTGCTCCTACCCCATTACAGTTTACTGCTTTTGTGGTAATGCTGAACTGTGGAAGCAAATCTGTGTAGTATTTATAGGTTCTCATATTGCAGGGTAACTTTTTTAATTGTTAAAAACAAATGTATTGGGGCCAGGGAGATGGCTCAGTAGAATAAGTGCTTCCCTGGCAAGCGCAAGGGCCTGAGTTAAATCCCCGGTTCTGCAAAAAAACAAAACAAAACAAATACATTGAAGTAAACCTTGAAAATAATGTACATTCAAGAGTATAATGCCAAATCTTGAGAAATGTGTACTCGTGTAACCATTATGTTAATTAAGACTTAAAAAAAAATCTCCATTGCCCCAGGAAATAACTTTATTTCTTTCAGTCATTCTCACTTCTCTAGGCAAATAACTATTCTGGTTTTTGTTGCTGTTGCTTAGCTTTTCTTTTTCTGCCTTACAGTCATCTTTCTCCACTTCTGACTTTTGGGTAGCATGATGTTTTTTCTGATTCATTTGTTTGTTGAGTAGTTGCATGTATATAAGTACTTTTTCTTTTCTGTCTTGCTAGGCAGTGTTTCTAGAGATACAACGCAATTGTTGATCTGTTAATGGTTATTTGAGTTTTTCTTAGGTTTTTGGTTTTTATGAATAAAACCAAAATGTTCTGTGAGGGTCAGCCAAATACCTCAGCAGATTAAAGCACCTGCAAGCAGGTTTAGGGGCCGGAAGTTCAATCCCCAGGCCTGCTGTGCTGGCCCTGACCCCGGCCCGGGGTGTGCTGAGACAGCAATTGAGACTGGGTGTGGTGGCACGTGCCTATAATCCCAGCTCTTGGGAGGCTGTAAACAGGCAGATCAATATGAGCCTGATCTAGTAGTAAGACCATGAACACCCTGAAGACCCTTCCCTAAAATACAAAATGTTTTGTGAACATTTGTACTTTATGTAGACATGAAATTTCCTTCACTTGGGAATGAAATTGCTAGGTCATATGTTAAGTTCATTCTTTCTTTCTTTTCTTTTTTTTTTTTGGTGGAACCGGGGATTGAACTCAGGCTCTTGCACTTGCCAGGCAAGTGCTTATTCCACTGAGCCATCTCCCCGGCCCCAAAATGCAATAAGGATTTTTTTTTTTTTTTTTTGCTCCCAATGCCCTCAGGTGTGGTTTGGCTGGCTGGAGTGTTGTGGGGATCAAACTACAGCAACCTGAGGCTGACAGCTTTGTGGAAGCAGCCACTTAAAGAACTGAGCTAGGGCCAGGCCCCCTCATTCTTACTTTCATAAGAAGTTTCCCATCTGTCTTTCCACAAAGTTGTAGATACCCACCAACAATGTTAAGGGAGCTCTAGTTGTTCCATGTTCTTGGCACCATGTTGTATCATCATTCTTTGTATTTTTAGTAATTCTGATTGATATATAGTATTCATTATGGTCCTAATTTGTTTTCTTTCTTTCTTTTTTTTCTTTTTTCTTTTTTCTTTTTTTTTGCGGAACCGGGGATTGAACTCAGGCCCTTGCGCTTGCCAGGGAAGCGCTTCTCCCACTGAGCCATCTCCCCGGCCCCTAATTTGTTTTCTTGATGGTTGTAGATGTTAAGCAACTTCGTGTGTTCTTATTGACCACTGGTATAGCTTTCTAATATGTTTAATGGGTAGTCTTTTTTTTGAGATAGAGTCTCATTGTGTAGCTCAGGCTAGCTTTGAACTCATTATGTAGTGCAGGCTGGCCCTGAACTTGGGGTGATCTTGTCTCAAGCTCCCAAATGCTGTACACCCCTACCCCCAGCTATTTGTCTTCTGTTACTGAATTGTAGAGTTTCTTTTTGAAAAATAGAATCCAGAGTCCTTGTCTCAGCAGCAAGAAAGTAACCGAGACAAAGGATCTGTTTAGATTGTATATTAAAGATATAGTCTTAACATTCTACATTCCTACTAATAATGACATGTCTGAGTATGTAGGCCTGTTGACAAAAGACAGGAATACCTGGATCCTTATTTTTAAAAAAATGAAAATTGAACTAAGACTAATAAAAAATAAATTAAAACAGATCTTGGCCCTATACATTACAAAATAAAACTTTTGAAAAGCAAATATAGGAGAAAATCTTCAAGATCTTAGGATATGTGCAGTTCTTATAGGATGCAAAATCCATCAAACATAAAAGAAAAAAACAGATAAACTAGACTCAAAGTTGAAAACATCTGTTCTTCTAAAGACATTATTTAGAAAACAAAAAGGCAAGAGTGGTAGACAGTGTTCACAGTACAATACAAATATGATGGAATTATGTTTGATGGATGTTTGATGATCCAATCACGTTCTAAAAGCCCCAACTCTGAAGATACGAGCTTTTGGTGGGGAGCTTTCTAGTGTACTAAACCACAGTCTGCTGTGTGTATCAGACTTATTCAAAAGATTATGGTCCTTTGTGTAAAATCTACTCAGAAGTAAAGATCTAATCAACATTAGCTTTTTGAATCTAGTTTTGTGTTATTTTACATGTTATATATTGCAATTTGGGTGAATGTTTCTTTTCTGCAAAACTGAAAATATGCCTTAGGTCTGGCTAACAGAGTTCAGGTTCTTCAGATCTGATCTGTAGTAAGAACAGAACTGACTAAAGTCCTCTAGGTTGTTTCATCTCTTCTGACTGGTATAGTCCTCTTTCTCACACTGCCTGGACAGTTTTTGTTCGCTGTTTAAATGGACGGAAAACACACCTTCTGTGGGAATCAGGTAGGTGCTGCGTATGAAAGGATTGACTGGACTCACAGGTCTTGCTTTCCCTGTTCTTCTGTTTCCTACTTTGTGTTTATTTTTCTTTGAGTCAGTTTTTCTGTCCTTTGAACTCTTCCCCTTCTCTTTTCCTTTTTGAGGAATAGTTGCAGGTACTCTGCAGCCCCGCTTTTCTTTGTGTAGTCTGTTTCCATGAGTTTTAAGGTTTGTATTCCTGTAGGCTTCTAGCCTACTATCTCAAAATGTTTGATTTTCTTGGCTTAAGTACCAGTTAGTGCACAAGTCAGAGAGGAATGATTTTATATTATAAATGTATAGCATAGATGTGAATAGGCTTTCATTTTAACTGTCTCATCTTTTAATATGTCAGCAGTCCCAGTTTGCTTCAGCTGCTTTACTCTTGGAGCAGTTCTCCTCTACCTCTTTCCCATGGGGGGAAATATATATATATATTTTACTTTTACTTTTTAAAATATATTACTCTTTGGTATTATTTAGTACCCTTTTTTTTTATATATGGGTTTGATTAGCTGCCTTGTGCTTCCCCTGAGAGAAAAGAGTCCATTATTAGTATATAATCATTGTTCTTTTGTTTTTTTCCTTTCTATTTTCTTTTCCTTCTCTTTTTACTCTGTGGCTCTTGTCCAGGTCTTGTTCAGCGTTGTGTGATCATCCAGAAAGATGACAATGGATTTGGGCTGACAGTCAGTGGAGACAATCCAGTCTTCGTACAGTCTGTTAAAGAAGGCAAGGCATTTAAAAAAAAAGTTTTTCCCTTGGGAGCAAATAGAGTAAAAATAGGAAAGCACAATAATGTCTGTTGCTTACAGTGGAATAATTACATAGTTTGCAGGTCATGGGTACGAGATTTGTCTGTGGTACTATAGGAATGAAGTAAAGTAAAGATGATTATAGGCTCAAGAAACAGAAATTCTTTCATCCCAACAGTAAAATCTTTTGGTGTTACCATATATTGGATACACCCTTAACATTGGGTGTTACAGTTTGAGCCAGGTACTTTTCTCATTTTATAGGTGACTTTGAGGCCCAGGGTAAAGAATACGAGTCCCAGTCACACAACTAGTGCAGCAGAGGAAAGATTTGAAACTATTTTGTCAGCCTTGATAGCTCGTGTTTTTAGCTGCTTTGTTATATCTTTTTAAAGAAACGTATTAGTGAATGCAAATGACGCCTATTTAAGTAAATTAATATCTTACACAGATGGAGCAGCCATGCGGGCTGGAGTGCAGACAGGTGATCGAATCATCAAGGTAAGGCAAGAGCAAGGAATTCATGACAGGATTAGAAAAACATTTATTAGCTACATTTTTAAAACGTGGATTTTTTGGTCAAAAGCGGTACTTTACATATGGATTGAGTATTAAAAACTCACTTGATTTGTTTTAAATTAATATTGCCCTTCACTGAAGAACATAATAAAAGGATGAATAAATTCATTTGTATATGCTTTTGTATAGAAGAATAAATCACTGTTATAGAGATCATTTCTGTCCCGGTTAATGTTAGCATATACATATAGAATTGTGATAGTGTATTGTTACTTGTCACATTCATTGTTCTTATATGTGAACTTTACAGAGATAGAAGACTGAAGAAAGTTGGGAGTACAGCTCAGCGCTGTGGCGCTGGCATGGCACACGTAGGCCCAGATTCAGTCTTTATTGCTGTAAAAATAAAAACACTAAGTGAACAGTAACTCTTGTTATATATATGGGTATGCATGAAAGGAGATAGTGTAATTATTTTTCAAAATAAAACCCCAGCGTTTTATTACAAACTAGTAAGAACCCCTCACCTTAATGTACTCATAGAATTATCTCATGTTTACAGTTGTCACTAATGATTGGTTTTCCCACTTATAGATGTACAAATTTCATAAATTACAATAAATAATCTTAAATGTACCAGTGTTCTAATATTCCAGGACAGATTTTAGATAATGGGTTAGATTTATTTGAAGTTTGTGACACTACTGTAGATAAATGCCTGCTAGTAGAACATTATAGTTCAGATACATGCCTGGAATTCTGATTTGTAGAGAAAGAGTAGACTGGTCAGTAATTATTCTTGAAGCCAGGCATGGTGGCAAACACATGTAATCCTGGCACTCAGGAGGCTAAGGCAGGAGGACTTTGGGTTTGTGGCCAGCCTGAGCTACAGAGTTAGCACAAGGTCAACCTAAAGTGCATAGCAAGACCCTATCACCAAAAATAAATAAATAAAATAAAAATCTTGAAATAATTGACTAATGTAATTACCTAAAATCAAAATATTATGTCGGGAAAGATAACATGAACATATTTTACAAAAATAACTTGAAAAAATAATTGAATACATTATGGAGTGTGGTATCCTTAATTGTTATAAGTAAGAGACCTTTTAAATTACTAAGAAAATAAGGACCGGCCAAATAGCTCAGCGGATTAAAGGGCCTGCAAGCAGGTGCAGGGGCCAGGGGTTCAATCCCCAGGCCTGCTGTGATAGCCTCCTTCCCAGGGCATGCAGAGATGGCAGTTGAGACTGGGCGTGGTGGCGCACGCCTCTAATCCCAGCTTTTGGGAGGCTGTAAGCAAGTGGATCACTGGGAGTCCAATCTAGTAGTGAGACCCTGAACACCCTGTAGGCCCTTCTCCAAAATACAAAAAACAAAAACAAAAAAATTACTAAGAATATAGTAATTCTAATTCAAGAGTAAAGATTTTCTTCCCCATAATTTTATTGAGAAACAAATAGCAATGAGATAGTTTCAAATCAAATTGGTAGGACAGTTTCAATAATTAACACATTGCATACTCTCTTCCTAGTGGTTATTTGCTGTACAAGATGCAGACATGATATCCTATTTACAATCACTCAAGAGTAAAGATTTTTATCAGGCAAAGGCCATAGTAATTGAAGAAAACAATTAATGAGGATATGTCAAGCCTCAGTGATAAAGAAGTAGAAGTTAAATGATTAGTAGAAAATAAAGAGCCTGCCCCAAAATGTGTACACACTTCAGGAAAAGAAAATCTTGTATAAATATTTTAATACTAAATTGAGTGAGACATTGTGAGATTGATACAAGTTAGTTTTGGCCTCTACAATTCTGAGAGATACTGTCAACGTGTGACCTGGTTGTTGAGATTGCTGCATGTGCGTTTTCAGTTTCTTCTCTGAGGGCTGGCAGTGTAGGGTTTTCTGTGATATCTGACATCCACTAGGGTCCCCCTTAAAAAAAAATCACAATCTTAAAAACAAAAAACAGAAAGCACCCTTTTCTTTTTGTTGAATTGTATACACATTTTTTTTGGTCAGACTCTGCTCTGAATATTTAATTACTGAGAAATTAAAAACTGATACCCCACACTTGGCATAGTATGGGTGTAGTATAAAGGCTGCTCTCACAAGTCAGAATATAAATTAGGTAAAAGTTGTGTAGATAGAAACTTAGGAGTACATGTCCCTTTAAGAGAATGTCTCATCTTTGAGTAGAAATTTTGCTTTTAGGAACTTATTTAAGGAAATAAGCATAGAAATGGGAAATGGTATGTGTATGGGAAAAATCTATTTTGGTTTTGTCATACTCAAAACTTGTAAGCAATTTGAATGTAAGAAAAATTGTATTTCAGTTGCAGCCTGTAGAAGAGTGATTAGGCCTGTGTGTGTCTCTAGTGAAAGGCATTCAGAATGCAGTGGGAATAAAGGTAGTTATAATATGTGTGTGTATATGTTAGTGCAGTATTTGCATGATAGAACAGCATCTCTTAAGATTAGTCACAGTCACAGTAGTAACATCGCTGGGAGGAATGACGGGTATACTTTTATTTCTGTTTATATACTTATATATTTAAGTGTTATATTAGTATTACTTCTATCAGAAAAAGTTAAATCTGTGTTTGATATTTTACCTTAGTTTAGCTTAATTAAGACTTTGGATAACTTTTTTACTTTTAGCCTGTCTCAAAATTAATTTTCCTTATAAAAATTTTATTTTACTTTATTTTTTGGTACTGGGGATTGAACTCAGGACCTTGCACTTACCAGGCAGGTGCTTAAGTCACTAAGCTATCACTCTGGCCCCCAAATTTAATTTAATTTTGGTACATAAAAATTATACTGTGTTTGGAAAATTAAAATTGAGCATATTATGTAAATACTGATTGTTTTTCATCGTTTTACTTACTATAATTTTGACAAATTAGTGAACAGGTAAACAAAACCGAAGGAATCTTTACTAATTACATTAGTTCTTCACTGTGACAAGGTTGCTAATCTGTTTTGTGGTGTATTTTATCATTTGTTATAGGGAGTAGTTGTAATCCTTTAAATCAAGGTCTTGCTTTGTGTTCAAGTTTATTTTGTTTCTGAAAATATCTTATGGAACAGCAGTAAAAGTGAATTTTGTAACTGTCTTTAAATAAAGACTACATTCTTTTTTGTTGCTGGATATAACATCATAGTAGTGAAAGTGAAACTTCTTAGAAATGTATTTAGTACAGGGTCTTTAGGGTCTCACTGCACAGATGGGACTTGTAGCAATCCTTCCTGCTTTTCAGCCATCCAAGCGCTGGGATTACGGTGTACGCCACCATGCCCAGTCTCAGACACTGTCTCAGGGCACCCAGGGGCGGGGCCAGCACGTGTGTGTGTGTGTGTGTGTGTGTGTGTGTGTGTGTGAGAGAGAGAGAGAGAGAGAGAGAGAGAGAGAGAGAGAGAGAGAGAGAGAAATCCCAGGCCCCTTCATCTGCCTAAGCA